TGGTGCTGCCCTAGCCTAAAGGACTTACATGTGCAATCTTTCCATAACCGTAACCTTCTGTAACAACCACTTGTTACACATAGTGCCTATACTCCATAATTGGGTCTCCTTTCGGGAATTCCTACTTTGGTTATGTACTGCACTTGGACTTAACCACAGGGCTTCACATTCAATTACTGGCTCCTTATTGGGTTACAGAGGCTAAAATTTTTTTTAATTTTTGTCTCCAGCCGGACTTGAACCATTGACCTTAACTGTGGAGGCATGAGAGCTTAACTGCTAAGCTATGGGACCCACACCCTATATTATTTTTATTTTTTGCAATTAAACTGCATATCTAGATGATATTTTCAAATAATTAGCATATAGCTTAAATATTTATAGATCAAATTATGATTAGTGTTAGTATTAGTAAATAACATTCTATATATAGTATTTTAACTTAACAAGAAATATGATAAAATTATATATAGTTAACAAGTGCCAGTTCAAATCTGACAACTCTCAGCTGTAACCTAAATATCAAATCTTTGATGATCAATAATTATTATTTCATTAACACAATAAAAAAATACTATAAAAAGAACTAAAAATTCTTAAAATCTAATAAACATATGTAATAATTCATATCAGGTTACTAGTATTTGTACTAAAAAATCATCCTTTTACTACTATTTATTATACATCTCTAATTTAATAATATTCTGAATTTTATTTTTATTCATCTTATACATTTATGGTAGATATAATATATGTTCACAGATGCAATAGTTAAACTATTAGTATAAGGTGTAAAATAATATATAAAAAATAACAATACATAATAAATAGAGTTATATAAACCATCAAGTACCAAAAATTATGCATATATATTAACTTGATTGTAAATGCATGTCTGTAATCTGTAATAAGTAGGGTTGTTAATAGAGTACTTCAAATTATATTAAAACATATAAACTATTTCAGTTTAAAACTGAAGTGGTTTATATGTTTTAATATAGTTTGGAGTACTATATTAACAACCCTAATAATAGGTTAAGTTACTGACTTCAATTACTATGACTATGCCTCCTAGTTTATGATAAAAAAACTATTATATTTTGTAATTTGAAAAACTTATTATTAAGAAGATAAGGTTGTATATATAAAAAATAATTTATTATTTTTTATTATTTATTTTTTTGCTATTTTATAACTTTTCTTTTTTATCTAACATAAGTATATAATTTAAAAGATTAAAATAATCCTACTGACTTCTAAGATTTTAAAAATAATCAATTTTTTGATAAAGTTTATAAAAAAATTTTAGTATAAAATATTGCAGATTATATAAATTAGGATATAATTTAAAAAAAATTATAAAATAAAATTAAGAAAATAAAAGAAAATAATATTTTCCTGTATTACTTTATCTTTAGTTATTAATTCAAACTGTCAAAATATTAGGTAAACATTACAAACTGTGTTAGATAAATTCAAATACTAGTCCATTTATTATGTAACAAAATACTTTCTTCTGAAAATTTTTCTTTACAATATTTTGAGTTATCTTCTTTCAAAAAAAATATTTAAAAATATATTAAACAATTAGCATGGTTAAGAAACAATATATTTTTTGCTTTACTTAATAATAATATATTAGAAGAATATTTAGTATTCATTATTTTAATTGTAAAATTAAGGTTTTATTTTTTTTTATTTAAATATTTGTTTAGTTAATATCAAAAAAAACAATTTTTGAATTTAATAGTTTATGATAGTAATTAAAATTAGTGACATAACCTGTCACAGATTATGAATGTGCCCTGTAAACCATACATTATACAAACTCCATTTCTAGTAAGTCTAATACAGTATACAGTTTATTCTCTGACAGCATTATGATGCCATCAGAGTATGAAATGAACAATACAATTCATTAAAAAGTTAACATATCTTAAACTCAGTTTATCCTTTGATGGCACCTTGATGCTGTCAGAGAATAAAATAAGTTTAAACTTATGTATAATAATAATAATGATAATTTTGTTCAACTAGGCAAATGAACATATGCTGCAAAGTGACACATGTTAGCCAATTATTTTCTCAGTTAAACTGTACAGTATTTAAATTTACATATCAAAAATTTAGATGATCATGTATTAGAGTTTATATATTACAGTCATCTGAATTTTTGATTATTAGAATTTTTTTATTTACTACAGTGATACAAATATTATATTAGAGTAGCTGCACAGTGCATAATGCAGTGCAGAACCAGTATGATCATATGCATATATATTGGTGTTTTTAAAGTATTTTTTTTGGTACATGTAATTTGATATTAGTTGTTATAAATATATTTTAAAGTATTTAATTAGTTAATTTAGTTTATGTAGTATTTAAAATCGAAGTTGATGTATAATTTAAATTTATTATATAATTTTATTGTATTTTGAAAGTTTAGTTAATTGATATTTTGTAAAAATTTAAACATCAAAAATATTTGTTAGTTGGTTTATAGTTTTTTTCTTTGATAAATTATTTATATAATAATATATAGAAACAATATAAATATTTTATTAATTATTTTTAGTAAATTGTATTTTTGTGTTATTGATTAAATAGTTTGCTGTTGTTGAAATCAAATATACTTATAATTAAGAGTTTACAGAATTTGTTGTAGGTCAGTTTAATTTGATTTATATTTTGTAGTTATAATATTGATCTAAGTATTATGTTTAGTAGTATTAAATACAAATTATGTATATATTTTATTATTTCAGTTATTTAGAATTAGTAGTATAATATTATTATTATGATATTATTTATAAAATTATTTGTATGATGTTGAATAATATTCTTCAGAAGATTATGTAATAAGAGGAATACTACATAAGTGGTATATATTAAAATGAAAATTAAAAATTTGAGTTGATTAATGTTAAGTCAGTTTTTAACTATCATGAATAATCTTCAGTAACATTAGAATTTTAGAAGAATATTTTTTTAAGACGTATTGCATATTTATTGTTTAATTGATTTTATTAAGTTTGGGTCTTATTTTTTTTTAAAGATAAAGGAGTATATTATGAGTATTCTAAGTTAAAAAAGAATAAAGTAGTTCAATGATAATATCTTGGATATTTTTAGAAGTACTGTTATAGTTAGTTAATTACAAGTATTTTAAATTACTAATAAGTTTCAATTATATTGATTATTGTTAATTTGGTGATGTATCATTAATTTGATAATATGTTGTTAATCTTTAAGTACAGCAGAGACAGTGCATAATCCAAAGTAAATTTCTCTCACTTGTGATCAATCTCAAATTAAATTATTATTTTGAATTCAATTGTAATGAATATAATTTCTTACCAGTTTCAATATATGTGTAACATTAACAGTTTTTGCTATAATCTTTAAGTTATAGTTTAACATGAGATTACAGTTATCATGATGTCATATGTAATAATTATTATTAATTTGGTAATGTGTTGTTAATCTTTAAGTTATAACTTTATACAAGATTGTAGTCATTGTGATATAATTTTTATATTATTATTCTATTATATAAATAAAAGATTGTTTTTTAATTGTTTATTGTTAACATCGTAATTTGTATTATGTCTTGTTATGTTGATACAATTGTAAAAATCAATCAGGTTTGTCAAACTAATAAGCAAGAATCAAAGTTAACTAGTGTGTGTGTGATTGGTGTTTATCCTATTAAGAGTGAAGATTGTGAAATGAAGATGTTTATATTTATTCCAATAAGTAAATATGAAAGAGATCCTAATACACAGTTTGTTTTTAAAAAAAATAAATATTATAGTATAGGTAGAAAAGTTGTACTTGGAAGTTATAATGGGAATTTAAAATTAAAGGTAATTAATATTATTTTATTTTGTATATAATTTATGAAAATAATAATAAACAGTTTATTTTTTATTGAATTAGATGACAGTCATGTCATCAACCCATCTTTTGATTAAGAGAGATAGTAGTTTGAATAAATGTCCTTTAAAGGTTTCATTAGTTGGTATTATAGAGAATATGGCATAAGAAGTTAATGATAAAAATGCATTAATCAGAGTATCAATGAAGGATTATATTGGTCAAAGTAATTGTTTTACTGTTAAGGTTGTATTTCTGCATCATAATAGTTGATTTAGGCACTTGATAAATTCTATTCGACTAAACGAGTCAGTGCTTTTTGTAATAGGACAGATGGAAATTATACAAAAGAATCTTTATGTATATGATGTCGAGACTTCTTATATCAATTTTTATTCAACAGATAAAAAAAAAAGTTACAAGTTCAAATAATTCACAATCTATATTGGGATTATACAAATTGGTTTGATCAAGACTTATAACTGCTTACCAAAATGTTAATAAAAATTTACCTAAAGCATTAATAGTCAAAAGTTATAGTAAGCATAAGAAAATGAATTAATCTGTAGGCAATTTATCATCTATTTCTGATTCTTTCTTATCTAAATATGCAAAAGTAGATGACACAGATTTAAATCACATCGATTCAGATTATGTAAAAGATAAAATTATTATGAAATGTAATGAGAAATATGTGAAAAGTAATGAATCGGGTGAAAATATTTCTAGTGGTAGCAAAAAAAAGAGGCATAGTTATAAAAAAACTAATAATAAGGATATTAATTATCCTATTGTGCATAATATGAAAAAACATACTAAGATGCTTAAAACTGTAAATAATAGTAAAGATAGGAATGAGTAGTTTTTCAAATTTTCATAACAGGATGTATTTTTTATTGTATATACAGATGTTTCTTCATAGTTCTGATGCTTGAATAAAATTATTTTTTGTTTATTATATTTATTCAAAAAAAGAATTTATTTATAAAAACATGTTTTTTACTATCATTATCATGCTTTAGTATTATGTTAGTTATATATGAATAATGAGTGAAATTAGTTTTTACAATTCTCTAAGATATAATTGATATTATTACAGGCATGAATGTGGTGTGTGTTCATAGAGTTAAATTGTAATGCAAAGATGAATATTTTACTTGTATTAACTTCGTATATGTATGTTATTATTAATAAGATTGTTTTGTTAATTTAAGTTAGTTTATATTAACTTAAATATGACAAAGCAACTATTCATTATTTTATAAAAATTTAGAGTTTATTATTTATTTTGTTTTACATCAAATTTTAATATATTAGAATATATATATGCTGTCATTTATTAATATTATTATGCTATAATATAATTAAATTTGATTATTGGTTTAGCATAGTAATGTTGCATAGTTATTTATATTATACAAGCAAATGTTCAGTTATTGCTGCATTTTTTCAAAACATTCAAGCTCTTTTTTAAGGTCAGAGTCGATTATTATATTAAGTTTAGTTTGGTCGAAAAGTCAAAGTATTATGATATCATTTACCCTTCATACTCTGAATAACATTATATAGACACTAGCACTTATTTTTCCAACATTCATATCAACAATTACTTTTTCTAATGCATTACCTTGGCATTTGAATTCAGTTATTGCAAAAGCTAAGATTATTGGAAATTGGGTTCTTTGAAACTTATAGATTATTTTTGATTTATTTTTTATCTTGCATGTATATTTATATTTTTGTTTAATGAGATAAATTGGTACATTATTTGACAGAAGGTTATCATATTGGTTTGGCCTGTGATTTAAGAGTTTTATTATTATGTATTTAGAAGGTTTGTTTATAGCAATAATTCTTTTTTTATTAACATTTGTATTTTTTTTAATTGATGATTTAACATCATATATAATTTTGCAAATTATGCTTTAGACACTATTTATTATACCATCATCAGTGCAAATATTAATTGTTAGTGCCACTTTCATACCTATTGATAATAGTAATATACTAGATAGTAGATTCAATTTTGTGTCTGATACACTTAAAAACTTTTGCTGTATATTTCTATAGACTAGTTTATTCTTATAAGTATCTTCAGCATATATATAGTAAATTGGTTAATTATAGTCTTTAGCATGTTTAATTGTGGCTTCTAAATTTATTTGGGCCCTCAGATCATTTCTTCGAACTAGATACACAGCATTGTTCTATTCTGGTAAGTTTATTTCATTCTCTGTTGCTAATCATTTATAAAGAGTTTCATATTGTATTGATGTTAAATAGCCATGATACAAATTATTTAAAATGGCTGCATATATTGGGTTATCAATTTGATGCTTCTGTTTTTTTAGAATAATTACATGTTTTATTATTTTCCATAGTTCTCTACTATTAGTATTAATTAATGTTTAAATATCATTAGAATTCACATATTGCATTTGATTTTTTTGTTAATTTATGATTTTGTCAAAATCATTTAATCAATACAAAGGTTAGTCAAGTATTGGTGAAAGTTAAAGAAAGTCTCAGACAAAAATTATATTTAAACCAGCAAAGAGTAAAGTACCATCTCAAACATGTTTTGCTTCTTTAACACATGCATATAATTATGTTATAAGTTTTTGGCCTATTATAGAGACTTTATCTATAATAAGGTATTCTATATTTGTTCAACATTCCTGAAGTGTTTTTTTTGACATTTTCCAAGTAAAATTATATTTATAATTGTTATTGTCATCATCAAATTCAAATCCACACAGTGAATATAGAGTACAACTATTAATATTTGATGCGCAACACCAGTTGGTAAACAAAGAACAAGCGTTTGTCTTTGACCAATTTGATTAAAGTATTTACTAATAGCTTTAATGACTTTCAATTTGCCTGTACCTTAAGTGCCTTCTAAATATATCAATAATTGAAATGTTTTATTAGAATTATTAAGATAGTTTTGCTTATAATAATTACAGACAAGAATAAAAGCTTTTTTTTGTTCATAATTAAGATCAACTGAAATTTTTTGAAGTGTTAATTGCATAATAGTTGACCTTTTTGATTCGATGTATAGGCAAAAGATTTTAAAACTTGATTTTCTTTAGGATTTAAGTTATTATTTATCTGTTCTGTTTTTTTTCTTAATGTTATAGTTTTTTGCTATAATTTAATTAGGTAATCATTATGTTTACAAGAAGGTTGTACCTGCTTCTTGTCATCAGAATTCAAAGTATTATGTTCTTTCTAGAGGTCTGACTGGTTCTCCTTTCTATTATCAAATTTGTTTTTTAAATATAAATGAAGCATTGCATCATTTACAAATTTTATATTATTTAATCCAAAATGTATAATCTCATATGTATTTGATAGAGTTAAGTTATTAATGTTAAAATCTTCTTGTCATCTAATATTTCTATATTACCAATATTATCATAACCAATTACAGACCTTTCTATTCATTAAATTTTTGCAATTTCTGGATTTTTATAAGGCATTTGGTGTAATTGACAGTCTAAAATTATTTCTTCTACATATTGATGCAAAAGTTCAATATTATTGATTATAAATCGTAGTCATGCAGATAAATTTGGATTTTGCAAAAAAGAATTACATGCTTCATGCCATGAGTTGTATTTATTTATTAGATCATCTGCTAGTCCATGTTTTGAATAGTAAAAGAATATAGAACCTATAATGTTCTGCATTTTTTAAGTCATCTTTATGTAGTATATTTTTTCCACACAGTACAGGTATTTTCTTATCTTCATGAGACCAATAAACTTGTATATATGTTGTATGTTATGGATATACTATACTATAATTGCAGGCTTTATTACATTTTTTTTCTCTATCCCAAAACATAAATCAATCTACTATTGTTATATGTTCATCAAGATTTTTCTGCCTGTTGAGTTTATCTAATTCTTTATCATTAATCTTTATTTTGTGAATTGTTGTGATATAATCATATAGACACATATTTTCTAACTGTTTACCATGATACATATAATCAATTCACAAGTTTACTGCATTTATTTAATTAATTAAGTTTACTATCATAAACATTTCATTATTCATAAGACTATTCTCATCATTATCTTCTTGATTTAACTCATTTTTACTACTATCAGTGTTAAAATTTTCTAAAAAACTTGCTTCAGATAAATCTTTAATTGAATATTATAATATTAGATACTTCTCAAAAGAATCAAAATATATAGAGACAAATTTATTAGGTGTATAATGATCTTTAAAACCTAAAAGTTATGCTGATACTTAAGGTCCAGTCATTTCTGTTTGTCATATAATCCTGTTTAGACACATTGTAACAAGCTTTTGTGATTTCGATATAACTTCTTCAAATAGTTTATTTGAATCTGGTAGTTTAATAATGAATTTATTTTAAGATTATAACACATATAATAAATAAATTATGCATGCTTTCATTACTCTTTGTTATATAATCTATAATATAGTAAATATATGCAAGTGCTAATTTAACACTTCCAATAAATCTAATATCATTATTTCCATGACAACTAGCAGTTATATAATAATTGTGATTATTTATATAAGCATTGCAACATTGAAAAGTAATAATTCCAAGTTTAGAATGAATTTTTTCTGATACCTCTACTAATTTATGAAGAAAATCAAAATGACAGTCAAATACTATCTATAATAATATTTCTTATATGATTTAGTACATCTATAAAACAACATGCATTTTGCAATTTTAAAAACATCATTATTGAATTTTTTATTAAAGTCAAAAGATCGCAGATCTGGAATAGGTAAAATTAATGAATACATTCTTTTTTCTATAATAGTTTTTGGTACTCTGTACTCAGCCTCTAACATTTTATTAGTTAAGTATTCATCATTCAAAAAAAAGATAACTAATATCTTCTTTAATTATTTCATTCAAATAAACTATTAACTAATTTCTAAAATTTTCGAATTTAAGATTATCTCATAGTTTAATAAGATTAGATGCACCTTGAAGCCATATTAATATATGACAATGAGGTATACCTTGGTCTTGATATTCTATTATAGCATAATAATTTTTTATTTCACCTAATACACCACCTTCAGATTTTCTATAACCAAGAATATATTCAATTATTTTTTCTATTATAATATTAAAATACTTTGCAACCACAGTTGGATCAAGATAAGATAGCTTAGCTCTTTCTGTTGCAGTTGAAAAATTTTCCAGAATTAAAGTATTAATATTAACTTCTTTTTCTGCATATATTATTACAATTGAACTGTGCAGATCTGCAAGATTAATAGTTACAAAAAGTGAAGATAATCCATCATGTATTATGACAGCATGAATTTCATTGCGAAAGAAGTTCTGTAATTAATGTGAGCCCATAATTTTTTCACCAATGATATTTATATTTTTTAACAGTTCTAATACTGCTTTATTTTCTATTAGTTGTTTATCTTGTTCTTGCTTAATTACAATTTCTATATCATTAGGTTTAAAGTTTGAAATTAATTTAGACAATTGTTTAAAACTTTCTTGTCTTATTATTAAGTATGCTTTTGATATAATTTCTCTTCTTTACAATATATTGAATGCAATAAAAATAAATGAATAATGATGTTTAAATTTAGAATTATTAAGATGCAATAATTGTTTAATATATTGCTTAAGTAGTATATATTGTTTGTGAAAACTATCTTTGTGACCACCAATGCCATAAGGAAATAAAGTAGAAAATAATGCAAAAAAAAGTGTTAGATTTATATACTCATTTTTGGATACATTCGAATGTGGCATTGAGATTATATTAGAGCAATTTTGTTGATTACAAGTTGATCCTCATATCATTTTTTTAGTAACTTTAAAGAACATTTCTGTTTGGAAATAGGTGCATTATTAGTATATGTCATACCTAAACTTCTCAATTCAGTTTAGTTATTAATAGAATTATATAATTCATTTGTATTTTCTTCCTCATCCGATTCTTTACTATTTATGTTATCCATATTATAATCTATGTTCTTTTCATTAATTAGATCTGACACATATCTAGTATAATGTTTTATCTTTTTGGAATCAATATTAATCATTACAGTTGTCACCAATAAAGAACTTGGTATTTTATTTTCCGGTAAAGATTGCAGTGTTATTTTATTGAGTTTAATGTTTTTATAAAGAATGTTATAATTTATCAACTACTCCAAAGCTGTTACAATTTTATTTTTTCTTACACATAATACCTTTTTCATCTGTATTTCAGAAGGTTATTCTTGCCAACAAATACAACCTTTAGACGATCACATAATTGATGTACAACTAGAGGCAATATTGTAGAAAGTGAAGTTGGTTCTTGTGTGAAAGTAATTACATAATCTTTTAACTTGTGATGTGTATGTTTCTGATTTGTAAGTTGAATAATATTTATATACTAATATCAGAAGCTATTCTGATATTGTTAAACTCTGAAAACATTTCAGAGTTGTGTCAATTCATATATTTGTTAGTAAAAATATTGGAGTACTACCTGCTTTTAATGATCTTTTACAATCATCACATACTCAAAGATTGAATTGATTTTCATTCATATTACCCTTGTTTCCTCTAACAAACCTACTTTTATCTAACAATATTTTATAACTGTTTCTATCTATATAGTGATGCTCATATGTAAAGTCAATTTCAAACAGAGAGTTTTCTAAACATTTATTGACTTTGAGCAAAGGTAGATTTATTTGTTGCACAGGAATAATAGTCAAATGCTTACACAAAAATAGACCTGAACAAATCATGCAAGATAATTCCCTAAGCAAATCAGAACTAGTATTTTCATAAAATTCTGCCAATACACTATTTGTAATGATTTTATCAATTGGTCATAACCAATCCTTATACTGTTCTTTCAATATATTAAATTTATTATCTATTTCCAGGATATGCAATAGAACCTGAGCTTCAATTGCATGAATATCTTTTTCAATATAAATTTTTTGCCTTTTTGTTCATTGAATTTCATGCCGTTTATGTTGTTCTTATTCACGTTTACGATAATCTACACATGCTCTTGATTAGCTTTTTGCTGCCTACGTTTCGACTTATAATCATTAAAAATCACAGAATCAACCCTAAATAATCTAATTAGTTATTTTACTCAGTAACATTAAAAACTTTGAAAGTTCAAAAGTCATATTCACATAGTCAAACGATTCATGTCATTTAGTCAAGTTATAATATCAAATCAAAACGAAAAAGCAATTGTTACTAATTGTACAATTTATACATAGTTTACAAACACTATACTATAATCTATTTAGCATTTCATTTTTATGTTATCACAAGTCAGAATTTACAAAAGACCTTACTCGAACACTATTAATAATAAATTTATTACGAATTATTACATCATAACAGTAGTAGTATTTTAAAACATTGTCTTAGCACATTTAAAATATTAAATCATAATGATCAAAAACTTAATTCATAATGATTACATACAAAGACACATATATTGCGTTAAATTAAGATATTCGCGCTAAACTTTATTTGAATACTATTAATAACAAATTTATTACAAATTATTGAATCATAAACATATGCAATAACAATCATCATCGTAATGCATAATATAATCATTATACGTTCACTAATACAAAAAACCATAACATAGTTACAAATTATACAAATGAGCATCCTAACTCTTACCAAAAAAGGGATTTTCAAAAATCAGCATAAGTGACATCAAAAAAGTTGAAAAAACCAACCCTACCACATTTCATGTTACACAAGAAACGTGATCGTACTGGTAAATAATAATGGTAATCGTAGCGGTAAATTAGATTTGAAAACGGAATATTAGTCATTTATTATTTATAACTATGAAAATATTTGAAAATTATATAGCAGTACAGATTGTGTGACATATCCTCTGACCGTTAACGTTAATGATAATGACTGTTTTCTATTAGTACGTAGTGCAAGCCGCTACAGCAATGCATATGATGGCATGCGTAATCTGCAATTCAGTGATTACAATTATTCTCGCTCGGATCATTTATTAGGAACAAGCGAAGAAGAAAACAAGACGGGAGTAGTGCTCTCACGCTGCAGGTCACATGACGAAAATATAAAGATTATCGAAGGTATGTCGTGGTTTTTTTTTTTTTTTTTTGAATTCCTAAAATTCATATATCTGTTTATATTTACGTATATATATATGTATACTGTTCAGAAGTGGGTATTTTGGGTTCATAGTGGATGCCTACACAGAGGTACAGCTATCCCAGAGACAGATTTTTTTTTTGTATTTTTTTTTTTTTTGGGTCGCAAAGCCTGTCATCGAGCTCATCGATAAGCGCGTTTGCAAGCACCTATAAACTTTCCTTCTTTCTCCTTTTTTTTTTTTTCGGGGGGGCTATACGCTATAGAGCCAGATATCAATCGGGCAGCGAAAGAATCAAGCACTATAGATTATCTCAATTCATCCTGCCATTTTATACTATCATTTTCCCATTTTCATTCAATTCATTCAGCATTACACAAAATCTGCAGTTCTGCAGTGGATCATCCTCGCGATAATACCCCTTGCGTGACTATTGTCACGCAATGGGCCAAAATTTAATTTTGCTAAATTGCGTCGCTATTGTTGTAATCCTATGCAGCCAAAAATTCTGTGCAGAATTGCGCCGGTGCAA